TTTTTTTTTTCTGGTAACTTCGGTAATTTGTTAAGCTGAGGAAGCTTGGGAGACTTCTTCTTTGAAGTGTTTTTATTTTTATATGAAGGTGGTAGACAGATTTGAAAGAATTTCTTGAGCCAGGCAGATGGCTATTTAATAGATATTGAATTTTGTTTTGCTAGTGATTGTTAAGATATTGTACATAAATGGTTTTTAGGTATGTATTAAACAGTTATTAATTTATTAATGTTTTTGAAACTGACATTTTATTCTACTGCTGTGCCAGAGTACCCAGTTTTTTATATATAATAATGGAAGTGAATGTTGGTTAGTGGCACAAACTTTGTGCGTTGTGTATTTTTAAAAACAACTGCTGCAAAACCTGGGCCGTTTGGTCAAGTGATCTTAAAGTTGTTTGCGTGACTTTCAGTGTGGTTTTATAGACTTTTGAAAGTATCATTCAGTAGTTAATCGTCGATATTGATCAGAAAATCGATGAAACTTATACATTTGTTTTTTTTTTTTTTTCTGGTTTGGATTTTAAGTCGTTATTAATGGTGTGGTTTTCGTAAGCATTACCAGGGGGGAAATTTTAGCTTTAAAAATTATTTTTAAGTTTTATGTATGTGTTTTTTATTTTTTGGTTTCTTCCGACTTTTTTAGAGTTTAAAGATGATCATTTTACTGTCATTTTGTGTTTGGAAATACTGGTCGCGAAATCTTTCTTCTTTTAGCCTTTTAAAAAATTTTTATGGCATACTTTTATGAGGACGTGCCGGGTAAATTCTCTACTGTCCCATATTGAAATAGATTTAACCATTCTTTTATTAGTTGCTGCCTAACTGAGGTATTTTCGTACACAGTTTTTTTGACGATTTGTTATAAAAAGTGGAATTAAAACTAATTTTTATTTTGGTGACTACAAAATATGTTATCTTTTTATTTTTTTTCTAAGGTTAAAAATGTTGCGGTAGCAACTTTACTAGGTAGGTAACTAGATTCCAGCTCAAAATTTTAGGTGGCTAAAACGGATTTTTGCAGTTGCAGGAAGTTTCTGGTTGTTTGATTTATAATAATTGATGGGACTGGCAGTGGCAGCAGTCTTCGAATATTAGGAATGTTGAGGTGTGCTAACTTTTTTAATTTGCATTTCGTTTTTGTTTCTGCTCTTTATCTTCGTCTATAAAGCGCTATTTCTCAGGAAGG